GATAGGATTGGAAAAAGTAGTTCTTATTTATGATTGGTATAGCCAGGGGGTCCTATATATATGTAAGTAATCTCCTAAGTACACTAAAATTTCAATATAATTGTACTAAATTTATTAATGATCTCTTTTACTATAGATTATTTTGACCTGCCCTAATGCACTTTGTTTATAAGTACTTTTTCGATGCTACCTAAAAATCTAAATTCGAAGTGCCATCATGGCCAAGGCATCATAGTCTTGAGAAAAACGTAAATACGGAGACAAAATGGTAAAAATTAACATTAAATTAAGACATGTACATATATTTATGTACATACTTACATATGTATGTATTTTTGTAATATTGTCTATTTTTACGCAACAGTATTCCTACAAGACCAAGTCTCATTATCAAGTTCAGAAGGCTTTCAACAAACGAAAAGAACAAACATTTGACCCGCTCGTCAGTCGTCTCCGTAGCCCTTACGCATCAATTTCAGCATAATGATTTGTGTTTTAGCTGACCTTAGCCAAACGAATTTGCCGCAGCATAACAAGATGAAAAAGTAAACAATGGGCTTGTTAGGCAGGAACTGGGTAAAAATATGTGCTTGTAAATGCTTATGTGTGTGTATCTAGTACATCTTTACATTCGTGAATGCGTAAATGAATGACATAAATTATTGAATTTTAAATTGGTACTGAAATAAACATGTTTGCGTTACTAGGGATGTTAATTTTTTCGATTTTTGCGATTCCGGGATTTTCGGGATGTCGTTGGTTCAATAGCGGGATTCCGGGATCAGGCCCGGGATTTAGATATTTATTATTTTTCAATGGCTTAACATGAAAAAGTTGCATCAATATGGTTTGAGAAGCTCTCCTACCATATAATGAATAATGAGTAAATGGGTTTGGAACGTACTTTTTTATTTAAAGTGAAAACTATTTCATAAGTAACAAAACGACAGACAGTAATTAAATTTATATGCATTTAATAATACTTTAGTGTGTACATATCCGATAAAGTAATTTAAGGTATGTCGAAAAAAGCTCGATGCAAAAAAAAATAAGTCAAAAAATTTATTTTCTGGTTGAAAGAAGTTCATAATTCTAGTGGCAGAAATAAAAGAAGCGCCTTTATTCGACCAGTATTGTCTATATTCCTTTTGTTTATCCAAAATTTGCATTTTTTTATAAAAGTCTACTTCATATTTCACATAATTAACTGCATATGTATAAATGGGCATTTCTCTGACGTCATGATTTTTTAAAACGACTTTATAGAGCTCTTACCGCCAAAATAACGTAAGGGAGATTTTTTTCAAAATTTTCATTTTGATGCAGAAATATTCCTAGAGCATTAAGATGCATTTCTGCATCAAAACGAAAATTAAAAAAAAAAATGTTGCTTACGTTATTTTGGCGATTAGAGCTCGTTATAATTTCAAAGATATGGTTAATTCCAAAATTTATTTAAAAAAATTCAGTGCAATGTAAAACAAAAGTATGCGTACCAAATGAAATAATTTTTTTGGGTTCACAAGGATGAATAGGAATTGAAAATGCCCCTTTTATCTATTTTATTTTTTTAAGGTAATAAAGTTAGTCCTTAACATATAATTTTTTCAAAAATAAGAATTGAAAAATCTCAAGGATATTCAAAGATAAAATTATACGGACCAAAAAATGTAATGTGTTTTAACTCTACAGAATCTTCTCTTTCATTTGATACCCATACTGGTTTCTTAAGTATATGGCGCTGAAATTTTTAAATCATTTTTTGAATTCTAGGCAAATAATCCCGGGATTTTCGGGACTTAGAAATGACCGGGATTCCGGGCAAATTTTTTTAGTTTCACTTTTATTTCAACATGTTTTGATTAAAAGAAAAATACTGATAAAAATATAATTTTTCATAAAAAACAGGGTTGAAATCTTTAAATTCCTGCCCGTATTTTGTTTATAAGTCAAATATGAGTGGCATTGTGCTACTATGATAGCACGGCCGGGTAATCATAGCCAACTTATGTACAGTAGTTAAAAAAATGATAGCCGCACCAAATTTTGACAAGTTTTAAAATATTATTTTTGTTGCTACATAATTTCGGTTAGTTTTTTATAGTTCGTTCTTTACCAACATCCGTATAAATACAAGTTTAAAGGCAGTGTCACACGATTGGGTATTTGCCAAAATTTGGTGTAAATCGTATCCCAATCGTTTGAGCACCCAAAACATTTTTCACTATCCCAATCATGAAAATTAATTTATTTAAATTTTTCAATAGAACATCGCGGTATTGTACCAATCTTTTGACTAAAAGGTGTGCTATTCAAATGACTTATCGTCGTTTAAAGTACAAAACCGCGTATCAACATAATGCAAAACCGCGTATGTGAGGTAGCATACATTATTTTGTAGAGAGTAAAAACACTCATATTTCAAAATGTTTCTCTCTTTTATAAAACAATCGCATTTTTGGCTGGTATATTTCAGGACGAATGGATAAGGCTTGAGCAAAGAGCTTCGGTGAGCAAATCCAATTTTTGGCAAAAAATGTCAGTTACGCGGTTTTGTAGAACGATGATACGCGTTTTTGTACTTTAAACGACGTTGTGATTATTGCCCTGTTTTCAGACAATTACGAAACTCGACATTAAATTTCTTAACGCAAATAACTAGAACCGTTTCTGAACAGATTCTTATTTTAAACAATGAATTAGGTTGCTTAAGTTTAATTTTGCATACTACAAACAGCTCCATCAGAACGTATGAGTTGAAGCGATTTCCTCATAAAGAAATCATTCTATCTCGAATTCGAAAAACTAAAAAGTTCTTATTTAAATTCTGTGTTAAAAGTTGCTTTGAAGCGTAAGATTGTTCGGCAGGGCGTATGAGTAACACATTGTCTTGTGGAAAGACGAGGGAGCGTATGCGTTAAGCGAGAAAAAGGCTTTCAGCAATAGACATATATAGTTATAGGTAGTGTAAGTACATATGTGCATATTATATATTAAGGACAGTTCAAAGGTATACCAGCATTATATTACCCACATGTATTGACAGTCACAACTATATGAATGAACATATGTACATATGCATGCATGTATACTCGTATATACATACATATCTACATATAGGTAGATATGTAGAAGCTGACAACAAATGTTCAATTATTAAATTCATGGATAGTTATCTGCATCATAACTTTGCTATAATTTTTTTCTGTCATATTGTTATTACATATACATATATATGCATATATACTTATGTATGTATGTATGTATGCATGTATTCATATTTTCATTGCTCCCAAAGGAGGTCGGTTTCATTCACTTTTGCTCTTTTTTCACTTTGTTCATTTACCAACAACAATGTATTTTATTTGATGTAATCTTTCTTATTTACTCTTTCGTTAGAGTCGTGCATGGTCTTCTCTTCTTTTCATTTTCTATTTCGTTTAATGTTTGATATTTGAAATCTCGTTTTTTTTTTGCTCTGCTCTGGCTATTGTCTCGAAGGGTAGGAAAATTATCAATTTGCTGTTATTGATTGATCTCGCGTTCGCTTTTTATTTATTTGTAGATTTTCATAGAAAAAGAAGTGGAATAGACGTCTGCATAGCAATTTTAATTTTGATTTGCAAATCTAAAAAGAGGTACACTCTCCAAAAAAAATGTTTAATTTTTAAACTTGTGAGCACACATATATTTTATATATCATTTTCTTCTCAATCTCTTAATAAATCGATTAATATAAGTGCAATTCATTTTCATCGAGTGCTTCAAAAGTTAGACGAGGAATAAACATGAAATAGAAAACAAGTTGCTCAAGTTGTAAATTTTGAGCAAATATTTTGAAAGTTGAACTCACTTAATGAGGATGTTCTAAATTCAATTGCATCCGCCGTTTTACCAGATTGGCTCCGGTTTTCGAGATAACGATACTTGAAAATTTGATTAAATTTTAACTATTTTATAAATAACTCCCTCAGTTTTGAAGTTATTTTATAAAATTTTGCACATAACGGTTTTTTAATATTACCTCAATTATTCCTTAAAATTATCGAAATGGGTGCAGGATCGCAGAATATTTTATCTTTAAAAGTTGGTTTATTCTGAAAGCACATCTATTGCTAAGGTATCCGTAATTGTTTGTAGAATACAATATATACCTAAAAAGTTCTTAAAACTGAATGCTTCAAAAACTACACGCGATAAACCGAAAATTTTAAAAATTGTGAAATGTGGAGTTACAGACTTTGAGTTACTTGTCATTGCGTTATTTTTTAATGCGCACTTTTCTTACCTACTACATACGAAGTGTACACATAAGTGCTAAATACCCATTAAATTTCAAATCAGGATATGGTGGGCTTCAAAAGTTATGACATAATTAATTTTGCCCCTCTTAAATGTTACATAAAAAATTCACTTGTTTTCATTAGTTTTTTCATTAATTTAAACACCTATAATTCAAAAGTTATGAAGAAAATTTATCCAAAAATTTTTTTTTTTAGGCTTCAGGTATACGTCAATGAATTATATCCAAAAGAAAGCAACTGGATATAGTTTCCAACAGTGAAAATAAAGCTAAATAACACCAAGGTTACCTGAACTTTAGATTTGCCCATATGCAGAACTAGCTAGGTAACTTGTATATTTATATATATTTTTACTTTACAACTTTTTGTCTGGGTCACTGAATCCCTTCTTTTTTACATTAAAACTGGTAATTTTTCAAATAACACAGTTTTTTTTAAGTAAGTATGTAAGTATGTGCATATGTGAGTGGTTTTAAATGAATTAAATGGCTGTTTGGACGCATTGCTGTTCGCTCTTGATTCCTTTAAAATGTGCTGCTACTTACAGAAATTCATACATGCAAATAAACCAAAATAAAGAACTGATTTAAAAAGATTCTAGTTTAAAAAATTTTAGAAATGTGCACAGTGATAGAAAAAGAAAGGAAATATTCTACACTCTTACGAGCATATGTACTAATGTGTGTATGTACATACGTTTTTTTTATAGATTTGCTAATGTCGCCCTTTCGTTGTCAGACAGAAAACTTGCTTTTTGTCGTTTTCACTGCCAATATTTGCGCATGTATGTATATATGTTTGTAGTTAACTAGGCCTTCACGCTTTTCCTTCATTTAATGCGTTAATTTTCCATTTACTTTCACTTTTTTTTGCAAATTTATTTGCTCACTTTATTTTCTTTTAAAAACTCCACCCAATCTTTATTTTGAATTTAAGTTTATAACCATGCATTAGTATGTTAGTATACTTTTTCACCCAATTTTTTCACTGCCCTTAGTATATACTATATTATTTTTTCACTGTAACATACTTTTTTATTTTCTTCGGGCTGTCACTTTTTATTTGCATTGCATTCTGTAGCCGATTTTCTAGGCAAACCCATTTTTCACATATTTCTTCTACTCAAAAAATATATATTTTCATATTTTTTTCTTTTTGGATTATCTTTGCCTGACTTTTCCCTGATTTAGGGAGCACCTCAACACTTTCGTTCGTAGCTGAGCTCTACCGACGTCCGATTGCAGCTGTGGCCGTTGCTCCACTAAACGCTGGGTCGCCGTCAGTTTTCCATCACGCACTTCGGCCGCGTACGCCGAATACAATAGACGAATGTGCGAAAGCAAGAACAAATGGCAAACTGGCTCTCTGGGCTAACCTTCGCATACATCCAATTTTCCAACTCGTTTTGGCCGCCTTAGCATTTCTTTCCGCTCACTGATGTTGGAAAATCGCATGTCTAACAGACTAGTAAATCTTCCCGTTTCTCTTACTCTCATTTTCACTATACCATCGCCTATTATGTTTTCTCTCTGTGCGTGTACTCGCGTCTTCTCTTCACAGAAGCTTTGCCATTTTTCGGCTTTTCATTCTCACAACCATTTGTTGTTATGGCTGTTTTGGTTGTAATTATTTTCGGTTTTGCTTATTTTTCCATTTCGTTTCATTTGCGTTTATTTTTTTAATTTTCGCATTTCTTCTGTTTTTCCTGATTTTGTTGTGATAGCGAGTCTGGAAAGCGTGGCACATACGTATGTACATAATGTCCGAATGTTTTTATTTTCCATAATTTTTACGCTGTTTATCCACCTGGTCCGCTCGTTTGTAGATAAATATGTATGTGTGTGTATGTCGTATTAATTTCTCTTTTTCCCAGCCAGCAAATAAACGTAAATTTTGCCGACAGTGCAGTTTAGTTCAATTTTCGTATCCGGAAAACGTTCGAGAAAGATGTGCCGCTATTTGTTAGCTTCCAGAAGGTGCCGGGTTCGAGTTTCGTCAGGCGCCCTAAGTTTATTTAATTTAATTTTAGCCATGAAAAAGTATCTGTGAAGTGCAGAAGGAAAGCGTATTGAACGAAAAATTCAGTCAGACAAATTTCAGAAAAAAACAGCCGAAAACGTATCCTTTTCACCACAATTTTCGGTACTTTTCTGTACATAGGTCTCTGCCGCACACTTTCGTGGGAAATGGAATCGGTAAACGGACAAAAATATGGTTTTCACCCACTTTTTCCCGTTTTCGGATTTTTTGCTGGCTGGGTTGCTATCAAGTCAGCGTTGTAGTATTGCAGCCGTGGGTAAGGCATCAGTAACAGTGGACCACGCGCAGTACTGCTTAGCTTGTTATAAGTATTTCAGACTTAAGTTCACGGAGAAATGGTCATAAAGTGTGCTGAATAAGTGAAATAAAACGTTTTACTATAATAGTTATTGAATCTAAATATTATATAATTGCAGATGGAGGTATACTCATACTCTTAGAGTTAATAACTCTGTAAGGAAAATTTTAAGTTTTCAAATTGCACAAAAAAAAACGCCGAAACAGGTAAACTTAATTTTGGGTCGTAGATCACCGCCCTGTTTTTCTTGATCAGATCATTTTCGCAAGAAATTTTCATTTAAAGTTTGCATTGTGAATGAAAAAAAATGCTAACTTTAACAGGGAACAATTTAAAAAATAAAAGATTTTTTGTAAATTCCTCTTCTATTACATTTCTATTCTTTTAAAAAAACATCAAGCTATCAGTGAAGAAAATTGATAGATAAATAAAGTTGTTAATGGTAAAAAAAAAATAATTACATACAACATGTTTCCATCCAAAATTTATTATTTCATAGCAGCCCGGCGAACTTCGTCCCGTCCAAAATTAATTTTTTTATTGAAATATTTGGTCCAACGTTTTCGCCAGCTACTCACGTTCACGTTTGGTTTTGTGGTCGACAGAAGGCATATCCCCATTGTCGTCTTAAATAACCTGACGAAAGCGTTATACCGGGAAGAAGTCCTTGCGGCTCGATAGTGAATCGTCCTTGAATCTGTATAGTATAGTTGGTGGCAATTTACAAACTGGTGAGTTTCATTGTTCCACATTCTGTTTAGTCACCGTAAAGCAAGGACCGCAATGGTTCTGATGGATGATTTAACGGGAGTAATTTAACTTTGATGCCTGGTGCCTCCGAATAGACGATTTTTAGCAATAACTCGGTTCCAGCGCCACTAAAAATTATCATTAAAATCGTTTCGGTCGTTTAGGAGGAGTTAAGCCACCATAATAAGTCTTTTACGTACTGACGCTCTTCGGCATTTTTTCCCATACAAAAAAAACTCTCACGCATTCGTTATATGGAGAAAATACGCAACATCATCAGCTAAAAAAATTCTGGAAAGTCAACGGTGTCTTATAGCTATTAAAAACTTGCACTTTATGATACTGAAATTGAGTGAACTACAAAACTGTATAATCAAAATTTTGTACAAAAAAATTTATTACGAAAAAGAAAAAAACACTGTATTCTGGGTGTATATATTTACAGATAGGTAAAAGTTTCAATATGTTAATAGCACGACTTCCCTTTTCCAGTAGCCCCAAAATCTCTATACCAACTTCCAGGACATTACCATAAATACTTTCAGAGATATACGGTATGAAAAATTCGATATGTATGGGTGATGCCACGCTCCCTTAATATATCCAAAGTCTGCAATAGGTGTCCAAAATTTCAAAAAATCGGTACAGCCGTTCGCGAGATCACCTCTTATAAAAAGAAGGAGCTTCTCTTTATATAATTAGTGTAGGTAACACAGGGCAACGTCGATTTTGATACGGCAGATGTTGTAGCTGGTTTTGATAGGCTTTTTTTTTGCTGATTAAGAATGCGTAAGTACAATGTTTCCATCAGCTCCAGATTTTGAGAAAAATGTGGTGAAAGTGTAAAAAAATCGCGTTTTTTGCAATACATGAGAAGCTCTAGCAATGCAACAAAAAGTGATAGAACTTAGGCTTAAATTAGGGCTTGGACTTCTGACTTCAATCCCTGAAAATACCATTCCTGCACCTTGACCGTAAGGTTACCTATAGATATTTATTTAACAGCTAACATTGATTTTTACACCATTTTTGACGATAAAAAGTAAATGAGTATAGGTGACCATTAGGGAAAGGTGCAGGAATAGTACCTTCCGGGATGGTAGTTTGTAGTTCTAGCTTTAATTTAAGCCTACGTGGAAGGTTCTATCACCTTTTGCTTAATTGCGGTAGGAACTCAAACTTCCCGAAATCAGTTATTCCTGTTCAACAAATGACTATAAGGGATGGTTTCTCCAACTCAACTTAACTTAGTTAAGCCAATTTGCTCGACTTAGTCAAGAATAAGCTGTGTAAAACGTACGCTAACTTTTGACTTAAGTCAAAAAGTGGCTAAACTAAGTTAAGTTGAGTTGGACAAACCAGCCCCAAGTGACCATCAAGCAAAGGTGCGGGAACTTGCTTTAATCAAAGCCTAAGTGGAAGGTTCTACCAATCTTTGTTTCTTTGCTAGAGCTTCTCAAATATTGCAAAAAACTAGATTTTTTTACAATTTGACCTAGTTTTTTCTTAAAATCTGGAGCTGATGGTAACTTTTTGCTACCGGATTCGTATTCAGCACAAAAAAATCTGTAAAAAATAGCGTTAACATTTGCTGCATAAAATTTTTTCCATTTTTGTTGGCCTGTGTAATAAGTATTTTTAAATAGCCAATACCCGCATGTTTGCGGCGCCTTCAAACACCTTTCGAACTGTAAAACAATGACTCGATTCGATTGAAGATTTTTTGGAATTGATCGGTATCTGGTCCACCTATCAGAAAAAATATCCTATATGTTAACCCAGCCAATAAGCTACCCACGTGCTAAATTTCAAGCAAATCGGACCATTAATAAGACTGTTTCGAATAGTTCGGTCTCTGACCCACTTAACGGAAAAAATGAATCCTATATGCTAATCTAGGCAAAAGGCTACCAACGAACCAACTGCATTTTTTTAAGCATAGCTCGATCCCTGCGCCAACTATCGGAAAAATTAAAACCTTGTACACTCCTTCTTCTAAACACGTTTCCAAAAAAGTAGCACCCATTCGAATCGGTTATGAAACATAGGAGAAAATTGTTCCCAATTGATTCAAGCCCCCAATGAATTTCACAATTATCCGAAACTTTCCAAGTTTTCGTCGAAAAAAATTCAAATTTTTTGCGTTCTTCCGGATTTTTCCAAGTTTTCCACTTAGAATTTTCTACTTTTCCATTCGAATGCCATTCCGAAGGAATTGCACACAAAATTCCATACAAAAAAATCAATTTTCGATTTTTCCAATTTTCCGACTTTTCCGGAGGGTTTTCCCAAAATTTTCTTTCGTTAAAACTTTCTCCTGGCAACTACGAACAACTAAAAAAAATGTTTAGCCAAATCGGCCCAACCGTTCTCAATTGATGAATTACTATACATTTTTCACACCATTTTTATATACATATCGTCGTCTCAGAAAACGGATGTCGAATGTTACAAAACACGGTTTTGAGAAAATTGACTTTGAAGTTTAAGGTCGAATTAATCCGAAACTGTACGGTAGATTTTTGTAACTTTTGAAGGAGACGTAGTTGGTGTTATTAGTTTTGATTTTCCATATTTTTACATTTAATATCTCTTAATGTTAATGAGAAAATTTACTTTTCATTCCGTATACATTTGTCGTAAGTAGCGTTTACTCACCACTTTGTTTGGTCCACAGAACATACGACAATAGTAAAGTATCTATTTCAACGACGATGGTATAATTTGATGAAAAAACCAGACATATTTATTAAATAATGATTACTTATTAGAAAAAACATAACAAAAACATAATCATGTATTTAATAAAAAAAAATCTGTACATCTCTTATGCTGTAAATATGTTACGAACAT